ATTAAATTATATTTTAATTTTAAAGAAATTAAAATTGACCTATATATGATAATTATTAACTTATTAAATTGCTCTTTGGTCAAATTAAAGTACTGTACATTAAACTTTTATGTTCTAAAATGTAAAAAAGGAGGTGCAAATTAATTAAATTATATTTTAATTTTAAAGAAATTAAAATTGACTTTTATGTTCTAAAATGTAGAAAAGGAGGTGAAAATTAATTAAATTATATTTTAATTTTAAAGAAATTAAAATTGACCTATATATGATAATTATTAACTTATTAAATTGCTCTTTGGTCAAATTAAAGTACTGTACATTAAACTTTTATGTTCTAAAATGTAAAAAAGGAGGTGCAAATTAATTAAATTATATTTTAATTTTAAAGAAATTAAAATTGACCTATATATGATAATTATTAACTTATTAAATTGCTCTTTGGTCAAATTAAAGTACTGTACATTAAACTTTTATGTTCTAAAATGTAAAAAAGGAGGTGCACTGGGTTCGAACCCGGCCACTCAATTTAACAAGCGTGAATCCTTCCGCTGAGCCACCCAAACATTCATGTCACAATTTTGCACACAAATTTAGTTATATTTTATTGGGTGTATACGTAAATTTTCAAATTCCTATCGAACTTAACACGTGATTTCAGAATTCTCGGGGGGGAGGGGGGGGGCACCCCGAAGAACAACATAGCCCCGCCCCTGAACATATGATTATGTTTTATTCATTTACAAGATAATTGCTTTCATGTAATGTTATGTTATTTGGTTATTTCCATTATCTGATTAACCAAATCAATTTAATTTTGGGTTGGTTAATTTGGTTTTCGTGTTAATTTGGACGGTTTGGTCAAGACATTTTATTCCATGATTAATGAAATTTAGGCTTAATTAGTTTGATTATTACCATGGTAACCATTTGAACACCCCTACCCGAGACACTCTCGGGATTTAATCGCCATCGACGTTGACTGTAAGTTGTCGTCGCCGCCTACCACCGCTACCAGATTCTGATCTGTTATCGCTAGAGATCTTAGGATGATGTTGTTGATCATCTCTTATAGTTTGGTAAATCGATGGTCTGATGCTGCATGCGCTGCCACAAAGCCCTCTACCATCGTCTTCTTGATTTCATGGCAGGTTTGGTCCCGGCCCTCGATCCACCAATTGGTCCAATCGCCCATCACGACCTACGAGTCGCTCCTCAATAGCATGGATTCGTAGGTTAGTTAACTCCTGCTCCGCCGCCTAACAATTGCTTGACGAACTGGTATGGACCGATTTGCTCGTCATTCCAAATCCCGACTCTGATACCAATTGTTACGTGGATAGGAGGTTGAGATGACGTCTCTAGCTCTGGTACAAACAAAAAAAAGAACATCTCAAAGAAATATTTGGGGTATAATCTTCAATGCCATTAACTAGATTGCTAGAAAATGAGTACATATTTGTAGGCTAAGATATCCTAATAATCATTTACCTTTTCCTATCCAAAATATCAAACCTATCACACAAGAAAACAATACTCAAATCCTTAAAAAATACTAAAAGTAAGTCATAGTCCTACTATTAAATAATACGAATAATAATTAAATCCAAAATTTTCCAATGAATAACCAAATACAAACTAATAAGAAAGGATATTCACCATCCAAGTAATTTATGATATGATACGATACCTCGATCTCGTAACATATTAGATTGCCTAATGAGAATCATTCACACTTATCAAGACTGGAATAGCGCCCCAAAATAACACTCGAAGTATAATTGTCGACTCCTACCTAGGAATGGTAATGGATCATATTTCTCTAAACTCAAACTCAAACGAGCGTGTGCACCCATTAAAGAAACCAGGTAGAATACTCATTCAGTTTTAGTAGTGAAAGGTCAACCCAACATAATGAGTACCCATAGATTCACGAACATTAACATGTATTATTTCTTCTAACACCCACATCGCAAAGTTATCAAACTTTTTACCTAAAATTATATCTCCATAAATACTACTAACATCCATAAATTATCCATATTATCATATTTATATTGTCATAAAGATTAAGGGTGTGCCTACGGTGACATGCATGTCATGGTGACTTGCACTTTCCGGTCGACCTCAGTTAGGATTAGGTCGACCTCACATAGAATTCGGTCGACCTCATATAGGATCCGGTCGACCTCATTTAGGATTCGGTCGACCTCATATAGGATCCGGTCGACCTAATATGTTGTTTCAGTGTAAAAACAGTTCATGGTGCCTACTTTGGATATTCATATCATACAATTGGCTAGATGGAAATTGAAGACTAATGACTTGTTTTGAAGCTGGAGTGTCCCTCTACATATTGAAGTCATTGAGAGCTCGATAGGAAGTCCAGAAGACCATTTTTGAACCTCATCAAAAGGCTATGCCAAAACTGGGAAACTGCCTAGAAATGGCTAAGTCTGGAAACGTGTTTCTGAAGCCTATTTTTTAGCTCAATTCGAGAAGCATGAATGCAAGTCGAGTCCAGGAGTCTCTACCACGTTAAATTAGGTATGTTTTTATACAAATTCAAGGAATTGGATGAAAGATTGGATATATTTAAGGCTTCAAACAAAAGGGTCGAAGTTGCTACGAAGGCTGTTTTTCTGGCAGACTTCGAGCACAAGCAAGCTGCCAGAAAAACAGCATTCGTAGCAACTTCGAGCCTTTTGTTTGAAGCCTTAAAGATATTCAATCTTTCATTCAATGCCTTACCTTTGTATAAAAAAAATACGTAATTTAACATGGTAAAGACCCCTGGACTTGACTCGCATCCATGCTTGTCAAATTGAGCTCCAAAGTAGGCTTGACAAACACGTCGCCAGACTTAGCCATTTTCAGGCAGTTTCCCAGTTTTGGCATAGCCTTTTGGTCAGGTTCAAAAATGGTCTTCTGGACTTTCTATTGAGCTCCCAAGTACTTTAATGTGTAGAGGGACACTTCAGCTTCAAAACAAGCCTTTAATCTCCAATTTCCATCTAGCCAATTGTAAGATATGAATCTTCAAAGTAGGCACCATGAAACTGTTTGTACACTGAAACAACTGATTAGGTCGACCTGATCCTATATGAGGTCGACCGAAAAGTGCATGTCACCGTGACATGCATGTCACCGTAGCAAAGTCCAAAGATTAATAGCATTCATAAATGATTCATATTATTCCTCTTAGATACAAAATGATGTCGTTTTACTTTAGGGGTTGGATGAAAAGCAAGTTGAGTTTTGACAAACCCAACCCACCATATTTAAAGAGGTAAAATCCACACCCCACCCGAAATCCATCACAACTGTATTTTACAAAATTTGACCAGATTGAGTCGGGTCGGTTTCGGTACCATTAATTTAGATTAAGTTGTCATCCCTACTCCTACCTTATATATACTAGCTTATAAACCGGCCCGTTGGACGGAATGTTTATATTTGATTATTTATATTTTTATGTTACATTAAGTCTATCAACTCGTTTAATTTTATTGACAATTCTTCGATCGAGATGATACATAAAGATAGAATAAATAGGTCGGACATTCAAAGAAATATCATCATCATTTAAGAATATAAAATGCTATTGGTTAGTTGATTGTCAAGAAAGATAGAGTATAAAAACTCATTGGAATTCCTACACGACACATAGATAGTTTGAAACTAAATCTTAAACCTTGCAATCCTACATAAAGGGTTTAATGCTCTCCTTTTAGGAATAATATGTCACTAATCAAAAAGAAATGGAGAGTTGTTGATTCAAGTCAACTATATACTAACAACTCAGCTATAAGGGGACCATCAATACTTGAGAGCAAACGACAAAATTAGGATTACGTCCAATATACTAATAGACTCGATCAAAGTAATAAGGAACAAAATTTCCTTATCTATCAATTCCAGAGTATGTTGAATAGAGAACTGACTTACTTTAGTAAATCAATCAAGAACAAAGATAGAAATAGGTTGTGATAGCTAAAAAAAATCATAAACATAAAGATTCAATAACCACCACTCTCCGTTGTACAATCACAATTTTATCCACTCTATCTTCTATCTCAAGATACATATGTTTCAACCAAAAATTCAATTTCTAATCCTCCTTCTGAAACTTCATTTTATTGAACTCCATTCTATTCGCCATAGATTGATATGGAATTGAAATCTTCTACTTGCCCAGCTTAAATCTCAAACAATAAAATGGTAGTGCCAAGAGATATAAGAAGATTCATTTTCAAATGCGGCCTTGTACAAGGAAGTAAAAGGGGCGCAAATCATTGCACGATGGAGAGAATTTCGGAGTAAGTTAAAAAGAGATAAGAACAAAGATAAAAAAGTACTAAATGTAAATTTAAATTGAAAAATGCAAGGACACATAACGTAGTAATAGAATTAGTTAGCCAATTACCAATTTACCTTTAGCAAAAATTAAGGAGAGAGCAGTAATTTTAAAATTGAGGAAATTACGTGAAACTCTACCATGAAAATTGCAGTATCAGGCACCATAATAATACATACGGTTGACTTACTGGGCTTGTTAATAATGATGGAAAAGTCTTCCGATTTTCAGAGTTTCACTTCGTGTATGTTTTGTATTAAAAAAGATATAACAAATTTATTTAGTATGATTGGTTGTGATTGTTGTCTTTGTTTGAACAGATTCGGGTTTAAATTATTATATTTATATTTTTCATATAAAATAAATAATTAACACAACTCTATTGGAGGATATGAGCCGGCATACCTAACTTAGCATTCTTGGAGAGGAACGTGTTAGGATAGTTACTAAAATTCTAGTAGCCATCTTGGCTACATCAATATCCACCATTCATTTTTTTCTTTTTCCTGTTTTTCTAATCTCACGATTATGATTGCTCGAGGATAATTTTGGAAACAAAAAATAAATCACACAGGATAATTCTATATATATGCAAAACCTAATTCTACCATCTCCTCCTTCCATCAAACCGGCTCTCGCCGGCCGCATCTACCCTCCTCTCTCGTTCACTCAACCCACCGTTACCATCCCACCCCCTCCCCTCCCCCGCTGTCCCTCCATCTCTTCCTCCTCCACCCATGCTCCCTCCTTCCTTCCTATCCCTCCCCTTCCAACCCTCAAAACCCTTTCTTTCCCCCACCGCCCACCCCTCCTCCCCACCCACCTCGTGACTCTCTCTCTCTCTCTCTCTCTCTCTCTGGGAGACGGCTGTGGCTGGAAAAGGTGGGATGAATAAAAATCCTAGATCTGATTTTTTTCGCATTGGTAGTGATTTTTACGTAGTGGTAGTGTTTTTTTCGCATTGGTGGTGATTTTTTCGTAGTGGTAGTGTTTTTTTCGCATTGATATTGTTTTTTTTTTTTTTTTGCATTGGTAGTGATTTTTTCATAATGGTAGTGTTTTTTCGCATTGGTATTGATTATTATGTAAGTGTATTGTTTTCAGTGAAATGGTAGTTTTTTTTGTAGTGGTAGTGTTTTTCATATTGATATTATTTTCTCTTTTTTTTACATTGGTATTGATTATCATGTAATGGTATTGATTATCATGTAATGGTATTGATTTGCATGTATTGATATTGATAAATCTGCAATGGTATTGGTTTTTGTAAAATGGTAGTGTTTTTATTTCTCGAATGGTATTGGTGTTTTATGCATTGATAGTGTTCTTTTAATGGATTGGTATTGTTTTATTGTTGCAGCGGTATTAGTTCGGCGGAACGAAAACAAGGAAAGATTGAAAAAAAAGGAAGAGAGATCTGACTGGAGATTGTGGAAGTGAGAGAAAGAGAGAATTGTAATTAATATATTTTTGTAACTTTCTAAAATATAATTTGTCAAAAAAATTAATTAATAATTTTTTTTGTCATATCCAATTTACCCTTAGTAACCTTTTTATTAATCACCGTAACCTGTCTCCTAACCGGCTCAGAGTTGGGGGCAAAGTTGATGCCATAACAACAGAGCAGTGCCTGGCTCGGCTACATAGGAACATCTCTACTACTAACAGGTTGTTGAACAACCTCGACGAGAATCAGCAGCACTAGATTCGAGCTTATCCCACTTCGACTTCTTTGTTACTTTGTATACAGGGCCTGGATTTCAGCTCCTTTCCTGTAATCTTTCCGTAATGTTTCGTTTTTTTCCAGCATGCAGGTTGATTGTTTGGCTCTCTGCCTCCGCCCGCTGTGCGTGTACTCTGTTCGATTGTGTTTTTCCTTTGTTTAAATTAATAAAAGGCTATCACCATTAAAAAAAAAAATTCAATCCATGGTAAATAAGCTGCTGTAACGGCCATCCACGAAAACGACAGCGTTTCAGGGGCTTAGTTCACTATTTGACGCTCTCCAGAATCTAGCCGTTAATGGCACATGTGGCCCCCACTCTCCGTCCTGCGAGTTCAAAAAGGTCGGGGCAAAAAATTCGACCGTTGGAAGATGCATCCGCCCGTCCACCCTAACGTTATACTTGACAAGTCTTAACACTCCTCCGCCCCCATTATCGTCAAACTACCCACCCCCCAAAATTCATCACTCTCCATCGGACACACACAAAACTCTTCTCCGATTTTACTTCCTCAACTTCTCCCCGGCTTCCCTTCCCCCAACGTCTCGCTCAATTTCCTCATCCCCCACTTACTATGGCTGCCGCGGCGACTGAGGATCCCACCGGCGCGGCCGAAGGAGGCACTGCCGCCGTTTCTTCAGTGATCGACGAGATATACGAGTTCTCCGCTCCCAGGTTCTTCGATTTCACTAAAGCGGAGTCCAAGGAAGATATGAGGAAGGCGGAGCTCTGGTTCGACACTGCTCTCAGTCACGCCCCTTCTCGTACGTTTCCTCCCTCCTTACAATTCTCTCCGACTCTCCCACTCTCTTTCTTCTTTTATCGTTCTTGGATTAGTCGGAAAACACCACAATCATTGCTCGCTCACAGTCTTCAGGAGTTTGCGAATTCACTGATTGCTCCTGGTTTGCTAGGTTTGGTGTGGTTTCAATTTGAATTCTTGAATTAGGGGTTTGTGAATTCACTGATTTTGCTCCTGGTTTGCTAGGTTAGGTTGGGTGTGGTTTTAATTTGAATTCTTGAATTAGGGGTTTACTGGTTAACATCAAGGGTTAGGGTAAAAAATCTGCTTGATCGATCGCAGAAGGCTCTGTACCGAGTCTTGATGATTTTGTTGTTCTATGATTCGTTTGTGCAGCTTTTATGCCAAGAATTAGGACTGGCAGATCACTCAAAGTTGACAGCCTGTGTGATTTTACTGAAGCTGACCAAATCCCCAAGGTAGGTCATTATATGATTGAGATTCCTTCGCTCGTTGATCAAGTGATTATTAAGCCAAATTGACATGACGTTCATATTCTGTAATAGGCATCAGAATCCTCAGAGTCAACTGCTTCTGAGAGAAAAGACAAGCAATCAGCTGAAACAAGGGAAGCAGCAGCAAACAAGGAAAACAATGGCTGCCAGGTGAATGTGGTAAGTCTTTTTTTTTTTTTTTTTGAAAGTTTGAATGTGGTAAGTTGTTGAAAGGGCGTGGTGTAGAAGATCAAATGATAATGTGGACACCATATTTATTATGTTCTAATACACTCGTTTCCGACACCTTTCAGTTACCTGCTGGCAATGATACTTGCAAGGGCGTTGTGGAGAAGGCTATTCTCTTCTTTGAGCAGAAAGAGAAAGCAACTATTCATAAGCAAGAACATGCAAGGTTCACTTTTTATGTACTCTTTTTTTATGGATTTAAATGCTTTATTTCCTCAACAGATTGCTCTGATGGCTAATGGGGATTACGTTCAATGCCGTTAATGAGTTTATATATGTTGTTTGAAACAGAATTACTTCCATGAAAGTTGAATCTGCTGAAGTTAAAGAGCAAACCAGAACCGAGGCCTGCAGCACGCCTCAGCCATCATTGCATTCACAGAAGGGAGGTGCATTGACGGACTCCAAGAAGCATCAATCAGCCAGGCACATAGCTAGTTTGGTTAAGAATCCATCAGTGCTAAAATCCAAGAGTCAAGCACAATCCTCCCAGGTCAAAGGTGTCAAACCACAGTCAAGCCTGAAAAAGTCAGTAGGCATAGTTCTGTGATCTTTCTATCCTTAAACCTCTTGTGTCTGAGTCATTATTAATCATGAGTTGCACTGGATTCCTTTGCAGAGGAGGTAATAATAATACAAACAATCCTGCTGGAGCTTTCTCCTTCGCACATGAGAACCAGGCCATCAAACGGCAGAAGCTTGAAGATGGGAAATCCAGACAGGTGACTGTTGCTTGCCTTGACATCCCCCCTTTTCAAGTTCAACTTTCACGCAAGCTGGTTCTAACTAACTATTTATCTGTCGATGGAAATTTCAGATTCTTAATGTTAGACCCCCACAACCATTACCCCACAAGTCCAAGCTGGGACTTTCAACTAGCAATGCAAACGGTGTAGCTAACAGAACGCAGAAAGAGGAGAGAAAGGTTAGCTTTTTGCAGCCATGAACAAATGATAATCTACCACCACGCCCTGATCCAGTTCTAGCGAAGTGATATTGAACTGTATTTCTTTGTATCCTTCTATTAAGGTTTACGTTCGGGAAACAGCTGTGCAAGCTCCTTTTGTCTCGACGGCAGAAATGATGAGGAAGTTCCAAACCAGTACTAGGGAGTTGTCTTTACCTATCCCACAGGTAACGATACAATCTAAGCTTGTCCTGTTTTACTTCTTTCGGTCCCAGTCAATTTCGTTGACGATTGTGCTTCTGCCACTCAGGGGAAACCTAAGCTCACGCTTACAAGGCCCAAGGAGCCGGCTTTTGAAACGGCTCAGAGGGTCCGTCCAGTCAGAGTTAAGAGTAGTGCGGAGCTTGAAGAAGAGATGTTGTCCAAAATTCCAAAATTCAAAGCTAGACCAGTAAACAAGAAGGTAACAATAATACTAGCTTCTGCTTCTTGTCGTTGTTTCTCTTACAGCTGCATTATTTTGTATTCGTTTCTTCATGCACTCGATTCTTCCAACAGATTCTGGAAGCTTCAACTCTGCCAATAATACCAAGAAGTACACCACAGGCACCTGAGTTTCAGGCAAGTCTCCCAGCCATAATGGTTCCTTTGGCCTGTTGTTTCCACTCACTTGGTTAAGGCGCTTAACTTAGTGTTTCCTTCATTCTACCAGGAGTTCCATCTTGAGACAGCAGTTAGGGCTACTCACAATGCAGAATCAGCGTCAGTAGCCTCAACAGAAGTTTCTCGTCGGGTACGTAGTAACCACTCCACAATGATGTTGTCAATTATTACCCAGAAAAACTTAATTCAAACGTACTCATTCTGTTTTCCCCATTTATCTGTCACCTTCAATGCAGAACAATGAATGGAAGCCTCATTGCACCGAACCTAAAACTCCATTGCTTCAGACCTCTTTGAGAGCTCGTCCAGTAAAGGTTAAAAGTACTCTTGAACTTGAGAAAGAGGCTCTCGAGAAGATTCCTAAGTTCAAGGCAAAGCCTTTGAACAAAAAGGTATGGTATCTAACTTCTTCTCATTGAGTACTGCTTTATGAACGATACATCAGACTTTTTAATCTAACCAACTTGACATCTGTGCTTGTATAGATATTTGAAAGTAAAGGAGAACTTGGGATCTTCTGTAATACCAAGAAGCAGGTCACGGTACCTAAAGAATTCCACTTTGCCATAGATGAGAGAATTCCACCTCCCACTGTTTTTGCTGACATGTTTGATAAGGTAGGTTTCTTTTGTAGACTTTTTGTATACCTTGTTGAAACCATAAAGTGTGACTCGACTCATCAATGAACTCTTTGCAGCTTTCCTTGAACTCGGAATCTCAGGACAATCATCTGCTTCCTAGAAACACAGCACCAAACCCGTTCCATTTGCACACGGAGGTATTTGGTCAATCTTTTCATGAAGATGAGAAAGCATCTTGCACATTAATCCAATCCAAGTCCCAGATAATGAATCTTGTTACCATATGGCCAACCTTTTATTTCTTTTTCTGTCTTCAGGAAAGAGGGGCAGAAAAAGAAAGGAGGCTTGCCATGGAACTGGAGAGGAAGAAAATGGAGGACGAACTTGCTAGGGTCCCGAAGGCAACTCCGTATCCTTACACAACGGATTATCCAGTGGTAATTGATATCACCCATCCATCAACATGTTGCTTCCTGCTACTCCCTTTAAGGCGTGTAGGTAGACTTTTTTCAATCTCTGCCAGAATCTGATTTTGCAGTTGGTCTTCATTTTGCAGGTTCCACCAAGACCAAACCCCAAGCCATCCACAAGACCTGAACCATTTCAATTGGAGAGCCTTGTGAGACATGAAGAAGAAATGCAGAAGGAAATGGAGGACAGACTTAGGAAGGAGAGGGAAGAAGCTCAGATGAGGATATTCAAAGCACAGCCAGTTCTCAAAGAGTAAGTAAATAGGGATTGTTGCTGCTTTAATTTATCTCTAAGTGAGTGCATGCAGTCAGTCATATTCTTTTTCTTTCCTATTGTAACAGGGATCCCATTCCAGTACCAGAGAAGGTGCGGATACCTCTTACAGAGGTTCAACAAATCCATCTTCATGTGGATCACCGAGCAGTAGACAGGAAAGAATTTGATCAGAAGGTAAGCTTCACTCTGGTCCATCTTCAGCGTGTCAAAGTAACTTAAACGTGTAGCTAGCTAAATTTTGGCTGCTCATATATTATTTTGCGTTCTGTTTTAATCAGGTGAAGCAAAAGGAGATGATGTATAAGCGATATAGAGAGGAAAGTGAAGCTGCAAAGATGGTAAGTCGTCCGTCCTTATTTTATAGAATTTGTAATTTGGTTGACAATGATTCCTAATAATGGCTGAATTATGGGGTGGGTGAACAGATTGAGGAAGAGAAGGCATTGAAGCAGCTGAGGAGAACAATGGTACCTCATGCTAGACCAGTCCCAAACTTCGAGCACCCCTTCTGCCCCCAGAAGTAAGAAGCAGAAAAAGAAATGAGACCAGCTGACTCTACTCTGATCTTAGTACGTGCATTCATGGTCGGTTGATTGATTCATTTGGTGCGTTCTATATTTACAGATCTTGCAAAGTAGCAACGAAGCCAAAGTCGCCGAAATTGCGAGTGCTTCACAGGAGAGAACAGCAAAAGAGGAGGAGCAGCTTCATGAGGGCTGCAGCAGCAGCTTCTAGCCCTGCTTCATGCATGCGGTGATTGATGGGTAGACTTGTAACTTCCTCTGTTCAAGATCTCTTGAACCGGCCAAGCCAGCCGCCGCCTGTTCAAAATTCTTTCTTGTGTTGTACACAATGTGATGTAGATCTGTTATGAAAGTAAAAAAAGCAAATCATGTGATGATTTTAATTTCTGGTTCTGTTCTAATTTACAGAGGTGTTTTCTGGGATGACACATTTGTCGTAACTAGGGAAAAAATATGTCCCTAGTTTTACACCTCGGAGCTGAATTCTGATACTCAAAACACCGGATCGGAAGAACATCATGTGTCAGCTTTAGAATATTGATCTAGTCAAACATGAGTGAAAAATAGTTAATGATCGAGCAATCCAATCAGCTCTCACATTTCTGGATTCCAAGGACTTCTCTAACTTTGATCTGTGTGTTGTTTGAGAATAGACTCCATCATACCCAACCAAGCAGCAAGAACTTGACCGTCTGTTTAGACAACAAATTCTAAATGGACCTGGTGTTGGCAAAAGACTAATTGGCTTGGAAGTTCAATATCTCAGGTGATTTTTGTATGTTCGTTAAACATACCAAGATTTTAACCATCATATCGGATCAGGGGCATCACTCACCCTACGGACTACATTATTATTCTCGATCATGTCTTATACTTCCTTATATAATCTTACTGTTCTTCTCTTTCGATTGTGAAACGAAGTTGATCTCATTGTAAAAAAAGATGGAGTTACGTGGTTGCTAGGTTTAGTCATCTGGGACCTGCCCATTGTTCATGATTGAGACGATACAAGCAGAGCTTTACTGATGTGACGATGGCATTACCTTGCTGTGGGAGCTAGCTTGGCTACTATGATTTCTTAGTCAAGTCCGACTCCAATGGCAAGAGATCGTATTGCACGCACCTTTCGAGGCGATGGCTTTTCCAAGCTCGGCTAGACTGCTATTCACGACGAGGAGCTCATTCCACAACCACTGTGTTCCTTGCTTCGCCCGGGGGTTGGTTCAGTTAATAGGAAAGTAGCTATGTTCTGCTGTCTTGACTTCCTTGATTAATTCAGCAATTACAGAAAATGACGATTATATTTCTGTGCAACAGACTGAACACTGGTAAGTCCTTATGGAAACAAACTGGACCCTATGCTATGCCGACTAGGCTTCATTCTCCGCGGATTATAAATTGAAACGCGAGAGAAATGTCCTACACATTCCTGCCCTTCCAATTTTGATAAAGAGACCTGCAGGCTACAACACGAAAGCCTCAATGTCGAAGGATTATGAACTTTTTGCCTGTAGTTTTGGTCCTTATACTGCAAACCCATAACTTACAAAGCTACAGTATTTGTATGACACGCCTCATCGTCCAGATCCAGAAGCCTCTTTCTTTTTATTGCTCCTCCTTTACTTCCAACTTGGCGCCAGAAGCTGCCTCAGCCTCCATTCGTCCTCCACTAGCAGCAGCTTCCCGCTCCACCTTCAGCTTCTTGTTGAATGCTATCATCTGTTCCCAGTAACAAAAAAAAAAGTGCCAGAGTTAGACTATGCTTGTGATTGTTTTCACTTTTTAGCCAAACAAACACATGTTGCATTAGCCGACAGCTAGTTTTAATCAAGCCTGAGGGTGCAAGCAAACTCGTAAGGCTAGGTACGACACTCACCAAACAACTTCTGGGAAGGTAGCTCGTGGGAAAGTCAGCATGGCCTCTTGTTAGCATTGCTAATGTTTCCTCGTTGTTTACCAATACCTGCAGGCCATCCTTGGAAGATGGAGTTTCAAGGGTGGGAAGCATGCCATAGAACTCAGCCACCAAATAGAGATCGACTTCTTCAGCAGTCAGTGACAATTTCTGAGCAATGAACTGCAGGGAATTTTTCCACGATCAGATTGAGCAAAAGAAAAAAGCAGAACAGGAATCAGCTCAGGTCTGTTGTCCTTATTTGTTCTCAGCAGAAGTTTAACAGATTTCACATGCCAGGCCTTGAGTCTTTCAACATCAATCCGAGGAAGTACAAAGTTATAGAGACCAAGTAACTATGAGATGCCAGAATTTAAACCCTGTTTTCAGAGATTCACAGAAACTATGAAGAAAAACAAAAAGTTATTGATGAAGCAAGTACGCAATCTGAACCAAAAGTCACCTTTCCTCCCGAGATTCTGCTCTAATATTATGTGTTCTCATGAAGGTCCTCAGAGGGGAAGGGAACTGAAATTATGATTTACCATTCACCAGAAGGAAGTGTTATGTTTCCCGTAACATTTTTTACATGATAAATGTGTTCTATAATATGTTACAATAAGGCGTAACGTGAGAAAATGTATTATTCTCAAGAGTATATGATAATCACTTAGGGTTCCTTTGAGAAAACTGCCAAGCATACAAAAGGGAAAGATTACATAGGTTAGGGCAGGAAACCTCACCTCCCGGATTTGTCCAATAGACGAGGTAGATCGGCAGCGAAAATAAGGCTGTTCCAAACTTGGTGAGGATTCTTTCTCCAGGGGAAGTACTATCAGATTCAAATCCGACTGTGAAAACAGAAAATAGCAAGTGAGGTCACTGGAGCCATGATGAATACAACAGGTACTTCATAACACAACTCATACTATACTTCTCAGATGCATGATAATCACATAGGCTCCTTCGATTAGTCAGATTTCGACACAGAGATTCACTAGGCTACTGCTCTCAGTCGGATTTCTAACAGTTCAGTCATCAGTGCAGCAGGGTCTTCCATATCCACTTTTATCATTCCTCGAGGCAGAACAAAGTCCACATGCAGTCATGAGATTTCAGATTCCCAATTCCCTAAATTCATTTCGTCCTTCATTTTCAGTGAATAGGACATGGAATCAAAACCAAAGTTTAAACAGTCCGGTGAGGATATCTTTATGTATGCCTACCTTCATTGCCAAGAGGAGACTAAGGTGAAAAGACCAGAATGCAGAGGATTTGTTCAAGAAAACAATGCACGTAGGTAGGACTAAAACAAACAGACTATTCACCCTCAATTCCACAAATGTTCAAATCTATAAGCCACCTTCAAAATGAAATTACATTTCCAACATTGCCCCTTGAAAATAAAAGCATATTCATATAGTTATACACAATAGTAATTTTCCCAAAAACCATTCATTTCTTCATTATTAAACAAGCTATTTACCAACCTTTCAATTATGTTTTTCTTTCTAAAGCACATCTCATATCCGATCAACTCAACTTCTTCCAAAACCTAACCAAAGAACATGATTCTTCAATACTACCAAAACTTAGGCAAAAACAAACAAACCCACTAGTATCAAAGTTTGACCATTTATTTACCTCTTCCTCAGTTTTTTCTTCAACTGATGTATTTTTAAGATGCTCCATCAGCTTTGATATGCGACTGTTTCGCATGTGCCTATTATTGCTGCTACTAGCAGCGCCATGCCGGGTGTTGCTCCTCGTGCCGCCCCTCCCCCAATTAAGCATTTCAGTATTAATAAATGGGAGCACGAGAGACATTCCCTGGTGTTCTCGGCTAGTTTCTTGATCATTATTGTCAGCAGTAACTCCTCCAGAGTTCACTCCTAATGAAGAAGGCGGATGAGAGGTCCTCAGCCCTGGTCGTCCCCTTCGTCTTCTCGGCCTAACTTCTGGAGATCGTTCATCAGCAGAGGACGAATCCTTGCCGTCTACATTGTCCTCGTTATTTTCTTCCTCCATATCTTCAGATCCTTGATAATCCATACTTCTTCTGTTTCTCTGTCTCCTTGATTGAGTAGTTCGAAGGTTCCTCTGTGATCTGGCAGCAAATTGTGCAGGTGATTCTTTTCCAATGTTCCGCCTCCTCGCCAATGCTTCTGACTGCCTTTGAAATATTTGGGCTATAGATGCTTGTATCTGATGATACAGAATTTAAAGGAAGTGATTTTTTTTTACTTTGGCATTATGAATTTATGAGATAGTGCAACTCAGTCTTCTGAAAGCATAAAAACAAAACTACCATAATTTCAGGAAAGAAGATGCATACTCAAACGAAGACATCAGCATTATTCATATGGTAATGCATAAAAAACAGCATCCATTTGTTACTGCATCTTCCATACTTCAAAAAAACTGAGACGAATGAATCATACACACAAGAATTTAGTAAAGAAAGTAGAAGTATAGCAGTGATGAACAGATAGATCTCTCATAACCACATGAAATTTTTTCTGAAGTTCATTACTGAGTGTCCAAATAAATTTCAACACCGCTGCAATCGAAACATCCATCAACACCTAAGACAACAGAAGCTACCAACTAAGTAACTGTCTAACAACCCCTATTTCCATCATTGTGATACTATCCGCACATACGGTAGCCAGCCAACAAAACAAATTTTACCATCGACAACAAAAACCAGGTCAAGATATGGACCTTTTAATTACCTAAATCCACTCAATCGTACAACTATCCAACAGATACTGTTGTAAATGGGACAAATCCAATGTCGGGAGTAATTGATGAAGTCTGGGGTTCTACCCTATGTACAGATTCTGGATGAACAAATGACTATAACCTGCCAAATAGCACATGTTTTCAGAACCATTTTAACTTTTATCTAAGAGTTCTGCCACTATTATGTTCACAGAGAATGTGGAGGGGGTTGCCTGATGGTACGACACCTTAGTGAGCAAGACGCAATTTGGTTGAAAGCTCACTGGTAATTTATAACAAACAGCTTAATTTATATGAAATGGAAAACTTAATTTCACACAGAGCAGACTGCAAATCATAAGCGCTATTACAAGAACTGCTATGCCAAACTTCAGACAGAACCATGGCTCTGTTCTCCTGAAGATTCTTCATAATCTTCAAATCACAGAAGGTCTCTCATACATTAGAAGAAAACAATCCCAGCACGAATCAATAGATCCAGTAAGAGTATATACAGTTTTTAGATTTGACCAATAGTATGTCTTTGCAGACAAGATCAAATTGCAAAGACTGATGTATGACATTAAGAAGCAGTGTAATGGCATCAAAATTAGGACAAAAGCATATTAGCCCTCGAACCATTTCAGGGGATTTAGATTATAGAGGAAGGGAAAACAAATAGCAAAAACAAAAGGAGAAATTAGATGAGTTTTATTTCACTATTTGTTTTAGATACTCTTAAACACTACTTGACAAATTAAAAAACGCACAGGAACTAGGGGCAAGAACACGCAGCGGATAATCTGCACAGGGAGTGGAGCAAATTCAGAGAAAAGAAAAGCAAAGGCGAAGGTGTGTGCCATCGGGCATGTTGATAAAATACAAATATAAATATGGCTGCTAAAATCGAAGGATAATTTGGATATGGATCCAATCCAACCTAACAGTTTTACTCAAAATCCAAGTCTCTTCTGCAACAATCTGCTTATGAAGAGTTCTCATAGATTTAGTACTACTACGTTGATTCAACAATCATAGCAAAATTGGGCTGAACCAAGAAAATCAAATTGATTTCTACCTAAGGAAAAAATGAGCCTACCATGAATCAACGAGTCCTGTGACTGCCATTGTTTGCCTACACATAGATCTGTGAGAAAGGACCAGCTTGCAAGTTTCAATTGAACATACAAATTGAGACATATGAAACTTGTTGCAGAAAAGTATATCAAAAGATGTCAAACAAATAATCTCCACACCTAAACCGGAGAATTTAGCCGAGATCAGCTAGTGTTCAATGGTCAAAGGTAGTACTAGCATGATGAGAAAGGGACTTGCCATGGGTGGGAATTTTTAGACAAGAGACAGAAGCAAAACATTACAAATATATAGAGCCTAAGCTTACAAGAGTTGCAATGCGTACTTAAGTCAAATTTAGTATAGCAGCCCCTCTGACTCTGTAGTTTGACAGTATATAGTGAACACTTAAAAAACCAATGAGCTAAATGTTACAGCAGCAAATTACAGAACTTTTCTGTAAATAAGGTCATTGATATAACAAAGATATGGAAGTTGCTTTATTATAACAGACACTTCCTTATGTGGTGTGCAAATGAAACAAATGCATGGTATGATATGTTTCATAGTAAGCTATGATCCAATGTAAAGACAGTTACAGTACCAATACTGAAAAAATTAAATTCCCTGTAAATAAAATCCATAGTTGATCTAATAAAAATTTAACGCACACACCTGCTTGTTCCGAGTCCTTTCCTCTTCATGGAAAGCCAATTCCTGCACCAAATACTGAATCAGCCAAAAAGCTAAAATCAAGGAAAAGCTGTGGTACACAACCAAAAGATTGGGAAAAAAAAGGACTAGTCAAAATAATCTACCTTTTCCTCATACTTATCAATATCAGGATATAAAGCTGCAATTAAAGCATCATAATTAGGATCATCTCTCAAAGAACGCCGACTTGCACAATGGGTACGACAAGCCGGGCACTCTTTGTTCCTGCAACAAATGGAAGATATTATCAGGAGATGTTACATTAATCACCGACAACACACTCCTAACAAAGGAAGATATTAGATTTTTGAGATAAATAGGTAACAGAAAACTCCTTGAATATAAATGCGGTGTGTTATACATTACCCGAATCGCATTGATTTGTCAATGCATTCCCTGCAAAAGCGATGTAAGCACTCCATGACGGTTCTTGTTTTCTTTATGATCCCTATTCAACTCAAAAGAGAATATAAACATTGAGCTTTAAGCAAGTAACCCATGCATGAAAGATTGAAGTATCAGGATCTGAAAGATCTCCTTCTAGGTTAAGTCATATTCACGATTTGCAAAAGCCATTCTGGTAAAAACTTGAACATTGTTTTTGAAGTCATTGATTTGCTGGCAGAAAATAATATAAGGATCTAACGAACAAAAAACAGAACATATTCCAGATTGATAAGTAAGTTCCAGATGTTGTGCTTCCAACATACTTTTTTATGAGCACACCAACGAAGGGATTGATCGTTAACTACTGTCTAAAATCCCTACATATCTGCAATTCATCACCATCAATTAACAAACAGAGAGAAATCCATAGAGATGAATGCTTTCCACATACCTAAAAGCAAGTGGTTACTATTAGGAAAGGGGGGGGGGGGGGGGGGGGGGGGGGGGGGAAGAGAGAAAATGGTCGTAAATTTCTAAATTAATGCGGATAATGTTGACATCAGACAAGCATTCCAGATATGGCAATGAGAATTATATTGGCAAGTGAGACACGGCTAGATGGAAGAATATCCACTCTTCTCTGCTAGTCGATATGTGTCACCCTGGCCGTTTTCAAGATTAGAGATCATTGCCGACGGGATCTTACAACCTTGTAGGTGTATTTTTGACGTAAAAGTAGACAGCAGGGCTACACAAATTCTACGTAAAATGTCTTTTACATGCATGCTGGTATAAGATTTAGGGTGAATACAATATATTAGCCACAACTATTATGAAGTGGCGAATTATAGCTACAACTATGAAAATTCAAATTATTAGCCAAACGTTAACTCTTTGTTAGCAATTCTGTTAGTAATACTGACTAAACTTTTATGTTTTAAAGTTATAAATTAAAAGCAGTCCGACGTGGCTGCTGCCGTGGCCTACTCAATAATAGTAACCGACAATTAGCCATATCTTGACCCGCAACAATAGTTATGGCTAATAATTTGAATTTACATAGTTGTGGCTATAATTCCCCGCTTCATAATAGTTGTGGCTAATATATCGTATTTACCCTAGGATTTAAGAAAAATGAGCATCTCTCAGCCCATTTGCGAATGGCAGCATTGAGCTTTACAAAGTATAGTACATTGGTTTCCTACATTCAATAAGATTTTCTTAGATAAGCATAAGTTGAAACTAAACAGGAGTAAGATTACCTAAACAAAAGCAGAGCAATGCCAACAATTTACTCCAATAAGCACTTACTGAAGTAACATATATATTCAGATGAGTAACCGACTATTCCAGTTGAGCTACCTATATGCTTTCTGCCTACTAATCTATTTCAAGTCTATATTCCGAATCCATCATCAGTAACCAAAATACTTCAGGATAAGCTACTCAGACACAGGACAAACAAGGGTTTGGTCTAGTGGTGGTAATACCACTAGCCTTGAACCTGGAGGTCTCAGGTTCGAATCCCTTAAGTAGCAACTAATCACAAAAAGTAATATATATCACCCTTATCTAAAAAAAAAATGCTACTCAGACACAGGAATCCCCGGAAGTCGTCTGTACATCCCTCAAGTAGCACCTAATCACAAAAAGTAATCTACATCACCCTTATCTAAAAATAAAAGCTACTCAGACACAGCAATCCCCTGGAAGTCGTCTATATATCCCTTAAGTAGCACCTAATCACAAAAAGTAATCTATATCACCCTTATCTAAAAAAAAAAAGCTACTCAGACACAGGAATCCCCGGAAACCGTCAGATATATCTAAAAAAAAAGCTACTCAGACACAGGAATCCCCGGAAGCCGTCAGATACAGCATAGTAAAATTTGACCCTTCATAATAAAAGAGAGGGAGAGGAGTTGTATTTAACTGTATTCATTAGTGAGCAGTAGGAGGTTCATGGCTACAGATCCTTAAGGTATACATGAGTGGTGGTAACAGCTGAGGAGCCTGGGCACTAGGTAGTTAGGTAGTTTCTTCAGTATCTAAAGGTGGAGGATGGCCTCATCGGCAAGTTTACTGGAACTAAACATAGAAAACGTCAAGAGTTGGTTTTCTTCAAAGAAGGATGCACAGACAAAGCTTAGCTGTTGTGTTCAAGTTAACCTTCCCATTTGGTGTTCTTTTGGTTTTCCATTTCGTATATGACATCATCAATGAGACTTCAGATGGAGATATAACAGCAAGATGCTGGGTAACCGTCCAAACTCTTAGCATAAAAAGGAGGAGAGAAAGACAATCTCCTACCGTCCAAGAACAAAGCAACTGAGTTTATAACTTATATTAAACAGAGAGCAAAATAATCACCATGCAAGCGAACTTATTCCCTGATCTTGCACTATTGGCACAAAAGTCTATCTGAATTAGCAATTCGATTACTCCATTCTATCACACCTACAACTTCTTTTAAAATTTTCCTTGTTTTTAGAGATTTTTTTCAAATACAGACTAAGATCACAGAAAAAGTACTATAATATGGGGGAGAAATAGATTGCAGAGATAGTTCAACAGAATGGACCTGCAATGCATCTGGAAAGATGGCCACTTGAATATGTATATCAACTACAGGAAGAAACACACATCCAAAGCAGTACCTAGGCATATAGGGCATTGCACATCTTTACGAATTTCTGGTAGTTCAACAAAGACAAACCTGCAAAAAGATAATTATGCAATTGTTGGATAATTGAATCACATTTGTAAACATTTTGCAGTGGAAAGACTGCAGATAACATATTAATGGCTTCCACTCATCAACCATTTAAAATTTGGGTCCACGGCTCAAGTAGATTAGTTTGATTTAATTGGTAGAGTAACTAACGCAGGTAACATCAATTGTAACATGTGCACACCAAAAGATATACCATGTGTGCAAGCGTGTGATTGCATTGCCATGCACGCTCATATAAAATATTCAAAAAAAAATAGCGATCATGAAGTTTTTTAAGCATTGCAGATAAATGTTTCATAATATTTAAATTTCCAGCATCCATTGATTTTTTCTCTCCCTCTTTCTTTCTTGTTTTCTACAGAATTCATCTCCGGCCCTTCGTCAATCTTAAGTTGACAGGCTCAAACCCTAAGGAGTTATCAGTTGTGAACAAGATGGCAAGCCCCCCAAATCAACTCAACGAGAAAAAGAAGCAAGATTGCAGTGTAGTTTCATATGAACGACTACCAGAAGACAGTGCAGCTGTAATAGCTGTCGGTACAACATATAAATAAATGTAAACGTCTTCATTTCTTTTGTTTCAGTCTTTGCCCATGTAACCAGTAAGCTTTCAGGTTCTCTTCCATTTTTCGAAGACTCATAATTACCAAGCTAGTAAACAATTCCAAGAACCCTATTAAACTCAACTTATAGTCATACTTGGAAAATCTGATCATCAGGGATAATAAATCTAGTAAACAATTCCAAGAACCCTATTAAACTCAACTCATAGTCATACTTGGAAAATCTGATCATCAGAGATAATAAATCTAGTAAACAATTCCAAGAACCCTAGATAATTGCATCCCCTGTCCTCATCAAGATCCGAATTTAACGAGTAGACTAGACGCGAACATCTAACCCTAATGAGTATGCGCAATAAAAACTTAACCCACCTTGGGTTCGATCTTAGAAGCTAACATCGCCTAATAGAACAAGTAAAGCAGATACAGCCAGAAAGGTTAGATTCACAATGACCCAAATGAAAACATAATCAGTTACGATCTAGAAAGATCATGACAAAATTTAATATCTAAGAGTTGAGCTGCCAGAGGGCTTCATGCAGGATCTTGGCATCATCATCACTACCAGCCTGACAAAATAACCACAACCCTTAACCATAACAGCTTATGTCACTGAACACATTAAATAGCAACAACTAACTGACACTCATCTTGTATTAGTAAACTGGAAAAGTCAGACATACTTGTAAGCGACAGGAAAATAAGCTGCTACCAACTATAACACGCAAGTGAACAGCAACTTCACAGTTTCTTAATAACCACCCCGTGAAACTAAAACTAGGAATAATTAGAATGTGGATGTCATGCATGCATGTGTCGAGATGGCTGTGTTTCACCTTCACTATGTTTCTTCCATCATTCTTAGATTTCATCATGTGGCATATCTCATGTCCATACTCCAAGATCAAGTTACCAAAACCGATAGGTAAAGGAAAACCTCCACATGAGAAAGATCTTATAAAAAGAAGGTATATATTACTTTAGAAACAGAGTATAACCCCAATCAAATTCTTGATGGTTTGATACTTTGATTAAACAGCTCCTGAATGCTGCAAAGTCAATACGATCTATTACAGATAGTCCCAGCAGCATGCATGACTTTCAAGATTAGCAGGGTCAACAAGTGGCAGCAGATTTCTTTAGTTTTACTAGTCACGCCAACTTCACAAAGTCATTCTAGCACAAGATCGAGCATCACTCAATCAAGTAGCAAATGCAAAAAAATAACTTCCCTACTCAGTTTTCAGCCTAGGCACCATCAAACTACCAGCTTCTGAACTAAAAATCATGGCAGGAACGACTTTCTCTTTGAACACTCAATTTCACGTTTTGCTGAAGAAATATCAATCAGCCCCAGTAATACGATCACTTCCCACTGAAACAGTTCTCTTGCGCAACTCAAAAGATGGTAATGTTTGGAACCAAGTACAAGCAAAAAGAAAATGGAAAAGAGGAAGAGTGAGATGACTGTACTCAGGCTTATCCCCTTCCTCTTCTTCTTCTTCCTCCTCCTCCTCCTCCGAACTGGATGACTCAGTGGACTCAGAATCTGGAGAGAAAAAAAATGAAAGAACGATCAAATCCCAATTGCCCGCAAATTATAACCCAAATCAATTGCCTAGTCCACCGAATTTCGTCTCCCCAAGTGCAGAAAATAAATCTACGTCAATATGTTGGGGTGACAAATAACATGCTATAACTTCACCTCCTCCAGCGCCGCGGCGGCGTTTCTCTTCCTCCTCTTCGTCTTCTTCGTATTCCTCCTCTTCGTCGTCGTCGTCGTCGTCTTCCTCCTCTCCCGCCGCCCCTTGCTTCTCGTCTCCCTCCTCCGAATCATCTTCGTCTTCGTCCCCGTCGTCTTCCACCTCCTCGCCCGGTTTCAGCTGACTTCGGGCTGGCATAGTATCGTCCCGAGATTGCCTGGGAAATGATCCGTGATGATAGTGGTTGCCGTTTTGGTGCGGTGGCGACGATGACGACGGGCGTCGAGAAGACTCTCCCCGTTCTTCTCCTCTTCCTGCTTCTTGATCATCATCCTCGGGGTTTGAATCCTCCGGCAGTGGACGCTTCTGTGCAGGCATTGAACTCAAAATTAAAAATTATGTGAAGACAGAGAGCTCAAACTGGAGCGACCGTCTTGCTGTCTAAGTTTTTTTATTCATCGCTAACAGAGAGTAAGACGAGACCGTAGAAGAAGATCGGGGAGGGAGACGGTGCAAGGCAGGAATTTGACCTTTTTGTTTGGTGTAATTAATTTTAATTTTCTTTAATTAATGAATTTATTTCCTTCTCTATTTTAATTTTGCTCATATTAATTTAGGATGGCAATTTGAACTTGCCCGGTATTATCCGGTCTGATCCGAGATGGAGCGGGTATAATCCTATGCAAAGTAGTATGGGGAGGGGCATGGGTATCTACCTTCGACCCGCCCTGCCGGCTGCCACACTACCCGTTCTTGACCCATTTTATCTCGATTTTTTATAGTATCTATTCATATCTCTCCTATTTTGACTTTTCTTCAACTAGTTAAATTTGATCTTTCAACTAGTTAGATTCATTTACCCATTCCATTATCAATATTTTTCATTCATAAAGTGGTTTTCCCTTCATTCTATTGGAAAAAGTAAACTTTTCCGCGAATTTTCCAAATAACATGTAAGAGTGGGTCGACTCGCCCTGCCCGGTATCCGCGCGGGTATTATCCGTTGTTGTGTATAAATTCCCAAAATCATAGTGAAATTAGTTAAATTACTTCTACTCCTAAGATACGAAAGATAAAAGCTACGATAAACTGATTCTTCTTCTTCTTCGATAATAATAATAATTGAACCACAAAGTATATATATATATATATATATATATTCTACAGTACCCAGGGTGAAATCCGGGGTACCGCATACCTTGAGTAAGAAAACGCTATCCAGAACTTTGAATTGACTGATCTTTCGGACATGATACTATACCCTAACCCTTAAAGATCAAAATCTAAGTCTTAATTTTCTAAATCTTATACCCCAAGATCAATTTAATTAGAAACAATAATCGACGGTTATGATTCATCCAAATATAGGCAAAAAAATAAATGCACATCTTAGAGTTTATAGTTTATGATTTAGATAATTAGAACCTAGGGTTCACTCATTAAGGGTTATGGTATAGTATCATGCCAAAAAATCCTGCTAATTTGATGTCTAGATAGCGTTTTCATACTCAAGGTATGCGGTGCCCCGAATTTCACCCGGGGTACCGTAAAAGGCACCATATATATATATATATATATATAACAAGCGACTCAAAACCCTAAAGACTATACTCGGCCACATACTTGGCCGCCACTCCAACCCCTCTTAGCTACTCCTAATCCAACTCTAATAACTACTATAATTATCCCTAAAAGGCTAAAACTATTAATAATATGACTAATCCAAATAAGAAAAATAAAAATAATGATAATAATTCCATACGCAAAATTTGCCCCGACCCGCAGTTGCATGGGGCATGACATGGGTAATGAGGAACTCGTGCCTAGGGATGACAATGGATCGGGTTGAGCGGGTATATCTAAACCCAAACCCAACCCAACCCGGTGAATAGTGAACAAGTTTAAATCTGAACCCAGCCCAAAACCCGTCAACACGTGTTTTACCCGCGTTGACCGGGTTGGGTCGGGTAGGGTACCCGTGGGTTCGGGTTTTGTTGCCATCCCTACCCGCGCCGCCAACCCCCCCCCCCCCCCCACACACACACACACAATTGCCATCACTAATTTTGTGTCTAATCCATTCGTTGGGATGTTGGGATGTTCTTTGAACTAAGAGGTGGAAATTGGGGCAGATGTGGTTACTTACCTCATATTTTGAAGTTAACCACACTCACAATTTTAGAATAATGCTACCTACAAACTGCACCGTCATTAGCCACTACGGTTTGGTGAGGTTTGATTACCCACAAAAATTTCA